TAAAAATGCATTTTAAAATCACATCTTCATTTTTATTGATACAGACTTTAAACATTTGAAACTAGGACTGCCATAATAACAAATCTGAAGTGCGATATATTGCTGAAGAAAATATAAACAATAATATTTAAACTAATGCATGCCACTGACACAACAACCTTTAAGCAAAACCCATCCCACACCTCCCCCAAATGGTCTAAATGGAAAATACCAGAATTAAACTTTAGTACTTTACTGTAGTAGTTTACATTTGTATCTCTACAAAGTGGTTTATTTCACTCTCTTCAGCTCGATTTGTTTTTGTAGCACAGACAAATAACAAAAAGGTTTCCCATTAGTACAGAAAAAGGACCTGCCATTATTGTTTCATTTATCATCAATTTAAGAGTAAGTCAATAATTACCAGTAATCTTGACAGGCCTATTTCAAACTACATTTTATATGAAGAAACGGTAGGCTAATAACTTACTTTCTTCAAATGCATGTAGGCCTGGACTCTGAAATCCCAGCTGGACCCCAGGTTGTGTCTTGGCTGCTTAATGGTTGTATTTGCATCAGGAGGTTATTTGCCATTCAAATCACACCTATCCACAACAACATCACAACACCAGCATCCGGACCAGACTGTTGTGGATAGAAAAACTAATTGATTTCAGAGTATGTGGTTGTTGATATGAAAATAGGGCCATTTATTTGGGTATATCCGAAATGTGAGACCGTTTCTTGGGTAAAATGTAAATGCACTTCATAGTGAATAGCCTGTAAACTGTAAAGCCTACTATACTATAACTAGGCTATATCATATTTTGTTGACTATATAGACATGGTGCATAACAGAGAAATATTTAAAAAGGGAATTAAAAAGTGTTAGGTTATTTGTTACTGGATATTTAAAAATAAAATTACCTGTGTTACTTAAGTAGACGTTTAGCGCCCTCTACTGTCATTTCAGTCACATTGAAGTTGAACATGGACAAGGCAGGAAAGGAAATTGTCAGGTTTAAGATGTGTTAATCTTCTTGATATGTAACAGCCTATTGGATTTTGTTGATCAGAGAAATTATTGCAGACTCAGGGAAACTAAATGCGGTGCGCATTCTAGATCTGTCCAGCAGAGGGACACACGCGCATGTATCTGTCTCTGTCAACACTTGTCTCAGTTCTTTAAACTTGTGTCAAAATGTGTCTGAACACGCCTCAGTTATAGCCCTCGGTATGTGAAAGGTGTGTTAGAAAAATATGCCAAATGAGGCCATACCTTGAGGATAACAATCGACAGACCAATCAGAGGTCTTGCTCCAAGCCCTACCTCCTGTCAACACACCAATGAACCAATGGAGAGAGCGCGTGGACGGGACAACAAAAAGGCGTTGTTTTTGTGTAGGCGGAAAAGAAATATTTAGGTCAGATTTAAAGAAAGAATTATGTGGCTTTCTATAACCAAACCCATCTAAAGACATCGCAGTTTGATTGAGATATGCTCTGGTGCATATTTGTGCGCAGTTGAGCACCGCTTTGCCGTTGTGCGCAGTGAGGTCAACATCGCGCCGCGTCTGCGCAGGTCCGCGGGATCAGAGGAGCTGTGCAGGAGCTGTGAGTTGGTAAATAAGAGCTGACCTCGTGGAGAAGAGGGACAAACTGGATTAGCAGAAGTGTGACCAGCAGACAGCTTATTGCGGGTCTACTATGCTATACAATTAACTAAACCGAACGAAGGCCTCAGTCAGTGTTGTACATGTGCTGTTGATTTTAGTTATCCCTGAGTGACCTCCCTGCTGCTGACATTAACAGGACACGAAAACTGCAGACTCTTCACTTCGGCTGTTGGTGAGTAAATGCTTAAATGACTGCATACATTTGTTTCTTCTAGTTTATCCTTGGAGAACCGATTAACGCAGCTTTAACACATTGTAACGCAACTCAATGGTTAATGTATCAGCAGTGGAAGCATCGCGTAGTACAGTACAGACTCGTCTCTGTCCAGCAGCACACTTTGTACTAACTTCATGAACCTGCCACTACGCTGATAACTTCATCCAGGACAGTTTTACGCGCCCTGGTACCTCGCAATTACGCACTTTGAGTATTAAGATCAATGGTATACAACATGGCACTGCATCTTCGTTCAAGAGGAAGTATTCATAGTATTCACACAAATAATTGCAAAGTTAAAAAGTTGCCCGCTGTAGAATCTGTTGGATCATTTTAAATCTGCAAACATCAGTGATGTTAAACTCTAGTAAACTTTGCTTTAGTGTATTCTTGTATCCTATGGCTGCGCGGAGGCTTGACATGGGCCCCAGTTAAGTTGTTCAACAGGATGTTTTTCCATGTGGCAGCTCAAGTCCCAAGATTTAGCGCTTGCGCAGTTTATCTCAAATACACTACAAACACGCCGTTTTATGTTGCTTCATTGTTTGTGTAATTTAAAACACGCCCACAACCTCTATGAACCCACAACTTCACCTTCTGCTTGTCTAAATAAAACCAATACTGGCGGTAAAAAAAATAAAAATAAATAAAAAAAAATAAAATAAAAAAATCTATATCGTCTTGATAGACTATGCTAATTAGTGACATTTGCATTTGCATTTGACTTTGACAAACTTTATTGATTCACAAGGGAAATTATTTGGACACAGTAGCTCACAAATCACAATATATTATAATAACAAAGAGAAAACTATAAATGGTAATAATACATTCTAGCAAAAAGTAACAAGAGACTGGTGGCAAATAAGGCATAGTTTGACGCCATGGTTGAAATAAAGTTAAAATCATTTCTAAATCTGTAATAAAAATGTCATTTCTAATTCCCCCCATTATTATTAGCTACAGATAAGAAGATGCCATAAGCTTGTGTCATATTTATAGGAAGATGATGATAGAAGTTAAACAGTAAATTCTTTGTTCTGACCGCTATACTCCGATATAGACTGTACAGAGGGTCAGTGCATCTATTTTCAAAGCTGTGAGTCAACAGCCTGTGCAGTTGTAGATCTAAGACAACAGCTGAAGCTTAGGTGTGTACAATGCCATACACAATAACAAAATGCTTTAAATACTTCTACTATCTCCTCTATCTACTGAGGCCTAATTATTATTTAAGGTAATGAACATTGAGCTAGGGCTCTGTACCAATGTTTATTATCAGTTTTAGAGATGCACTGATCCGGCTTTTTCTGTTTCAGTACTGATGTCGATCCTTTGACTTAAAGTATCTGCCCATCCCCGATATTAACTGATACCAGAGCAGAAACTGAAAACATAAATTATTTCCATTTAAATACAAAAAAATTTAAACAATATCTGGGTCACATACATACAAGTGTTTTTGGTACTTATGCTGCATTAATCATTCTGTGGAACATTAGAATTGAATAGCCTTTTGTATAGATTTAGAATAATAGACACCATAAAAGACTTTTATCTTTGAGCATTAACAGTCTCCGTATGGCTGCAACTAACAATATTTTTTTTTATAAATCCATGATTATTATTCCAATTAATCAAGTCATCAAACCATTATTTCTGTAATACATAAAGATTGTATTCTTTTTTTTATTATAATAACTTTAAATTTTTTTAATGCTGCAAATTTTGTTATAAAAGCTCTTGTGGCCAATAAGGATTATCAAAATACAATTATAATTATTTTCATAGTCATTTAGTCTCGATTGTTCTGATAGATTGTTGCAGTCCTGTGTTTCAATTAGGCTAGACTAGACCTCAGTACTATTCATTGTGCCTCAACAACTTTTACTAAAGAGGAGTTATATCCAATATACAGCTCTACCCTATTCTTATATTGCGAATCACAGTTGTCTTGTGCACAAAATACCTGTACACACCCCCACACTGACAGACGAATGGGAAGTTGGCATTGCTCAATTGTTCAGCATTTTTGTCTGAAGGGCATAGACTTTGTAAATACTGATTTTATCCACTTCTGTTTACATTGTAGATTTCAGTTAGCAAACGCAGTGTAGTGCATAGAAAAGGGGCTTGCACATGCTCTTTCTCTGTGCCAGAACATACCGTACACTTGCAGAAAAGTCAACTATAACTTTTAACTTGAATAATTTATACATGAAGTGAAGTTTTTAGCATTAACTTTGGTCCATTTGGTGCAATATTTAGACTAGACCCTCTAAAAGAACTGTCTGAAAAGAAAACAGCTGACCCAGTTTGAGCCTCATTGTGTAGATGTGGGGATTTTAGCACATGTTTTAAAGGCACGGCTGCTTTTTTTTTCCCTCTGGCTCAAATCTTTTCAGAGCACGTTGAAGCTTGTCGTCACACCCACAACGGCAACAAATGCACATGGTTATAAAGTACACTATATACTATCTTCTCCAGGAAAGACAAATGTTTGGATAAACTCTAGATGAGTTTACTTTCCGGATGAGCAAGGTGGGCCACTGACACAGTTAACTTACTTAACAAATGAAGAGGAAAAAAAACATTGAGGTTCAATGCCAGATCAGGGTTTGTGTTGTTACCATTCCGAATTTCTATGATAAATATTTTCAACTTTATTACCTCAAGGCTCGAGGGATGTTTGTATCAACCAGTATTACCCAACATTTGCTATGTTAAATGCCACTGTTGAATGACTACAAGAATAACAGGAGCTTAGGATAGGGCTATAGAGATATTTTGGTGAAATCATCATATCGTGATTCACTGTCTATTTTCTATTTATGCAGCTGTCTGCTCAAACACTTTCCCCACCCACTTTTGAAATTGGCAGCCTCTGTATGTCAGCTGGAACTTAAAGAAGAGTGAACTTGAAGAAGAAGCAGATGACTATTAACCTCTTAGAGAATAGAAAATAACAAATTGTACATGAATTGTGATGAAATTGTGATCTGGCTCCAAAAAAAACCCCTAAAAACATAAACAATAAAAAATTAGCAGAACTTTGCAATGATCATGTCAATATTTGTGTGTAGAAATATGAGATTCATAGAAGGCTGGTATGAATAAATAAAATCATATTTAGTAATGACTCTGAGTCACCCCTTTCTCTACAATTGTGTAATGTCATCACAATTTAAATTTCACAACAAACCAGTGTCCTCCAAGTTCCCATCTTACTTTTTATGTCACATGTATAAATAACTGTACAATGGATACTTTAAACCAATGCAACCTAGTAAAGACAACCTGCTCTACTAAACTAAAACTGATGAAACATTTGTTCTTGGAAAGAAATCACTTAAGTTAAATATAAAGATGACAATTTCCAAGCACTGAATTAGAGTAAGGGTACATCACAGTGCCAAATGTGTGACATGAACCGAACACGTGCACAGAAATAACCCCTCTCCTTCCACAAGTTTCCAGTGACATTATCAGATCTGCCCCGGCCACATACTCGGGCTTTCACAGCAGACAAGCCATGCCTGGTATTCCCTCCCCTGTTTTCATGTTCCCTGTCTGTGAGTCGGAATGGGGGTCAAGGAGTAAATTTAGAAAAAAAAAGTCTTCATCTGAGCATGACTGTGCTGTCCTTGTTGGTTCAGACAAGGTGACTATAGTCTATATTTTGCAATTTTGGATCTTTATGAATTTTCCCACCAACTGAGAAAAGATTTGGCTTTCTGAGTACCACCAGGTTTAAACCCTGACTTAAACAGGACTATTCTAGGGCTAAACCAGGTCTATAATTGGACTGTGTTACTGTACTACTGTGTTACTGTAGTTCTAACCAAGAAATTACTCAAAAAAGGGCCATAAATTGTACAAATAATTAAAAATTAGAGGAGCTTGCGACATATGTACTAATACTACAATACTACTTATCACTGTGTCAAAATTATATGACTTAAGGATTTTTTGTTTTGTTTTTAGAATGTTATGATTGACAATTAAAAAAAAAGTAAGATCTGCCTTTTGCTAAAACTGTTTTTCTTTTCTTTTGTCAGTTTAGTCCGTGATGGCAACTGACATGATTCTGTTGATGCGAGGCTTGGCTAAATTAAGCCAGGCAGTGGTAGAGACTCAGACCAATGTCTTACGCAGTGAGGCAGGTATGTTTATTGTGTGGTCTTGTATTACACATTTTGAAGAGATTTCTCTGCTGGTTTGTTTTACTAGGGATGCATTCACACTTTCACTTATACTAAGTCAAATCTAAAGTATGACTAAACCGTAGACTGTATAAAGAATTGGACTAAGGGAGTGTGACGTCACCCATAGTGTTGGACTCCAGACAAATGAAGCTAGCAGTTATAGGGATGAATTTGGAGTTTACATATTAGGAACAGGAATTGATTTATGAACAAAATAGCTAAATAAAAATGCCAGGATCATGTAGAGCGGGTTAATATGAACATTTTGAGACTGAGGTATGACCATTTTTCAATGTAAAGTAATTTGGAGCCGCAGTTGATGGAGACAAAATCTCCTCGATGCTCACTTACAATTTGGAACGCAAGGACTAGCAGTTAGCTATGTCCAATTATATATACAGTCTATGGACTAAACCTGGACTACAACAGGTCCAAAACAGGAGTCAAACCAAATCTACATCAGGACTAAACTGAGCCCAAACAAAGACCAAACAAGGATAAGTGTGAATGCACCCTAAAAGAACACAGCTAATCTAAGGTGCAAGCTTGTTAATGTATTGTTTCATTTCAACAGTGCCAGTGGTCGGGGCAGCAGTGGAAACTGTCCAGTCTGCTGCCGAACAGGGTCTGTCTGCTGCAGTGATGAAGATGCAGGTGAGTTAAAGGTCCTATGTTACACAAAATTGACTATTGTGAGCTTTAAGCCATGTTGTAATGTTGCCACCTCATCAAAGTCATATCTGCTCTTGTGTTTTATTTCATTCATACATGTTTTATAATTAGTCTCTCTACATCTCCAAAGCTCAAAACTGAGTGGAGTATTTGCCATTTTACCACATGACATCACAAAGTGTAACAGTAAATGTACAGGGTTTATGTGTTAAACATGTGTGAATGAAATAAAAATGAAAACTCCAGGTATGTTTTTGATGAGGAAACAGCATTATAACATAGATTAGAAAATAGCTTAATATGGACCCTTTAAGTACAACAGAAAAAAAAAAAATAAATATATATATATATATACATACCGTGCCATTAAAAGTATGTATTCTTATGTATTTTTATCCCCATAGGAGATGAGTGGCCAGCAAACCTCCTCAACTTCATCTGAATTTGACTTCCCTGAGGATGATGGGACATTTCAGGCCTCAGAGTTCAGGGAAGAAGGTGGTGGGCATTCAGGAAGTGGAGAGGAAGGATCAGCCAATCAGAATGCAGCTATGGGAGGAAATCACTCAATATTTGAAGGATATAAAGATCCATCAAAACAGTTCACAGATCAAACCAGATCCTATCACCTCGACTCAGGGTATGTATCATAGAAAGTAATGTATAATTTACTCATACGTGGTCATTCTGGGACACTAAATAATTATATTTCATAGGAGGCACTTTTTGCCCAACCATAATTTGTACACCCAGAGGCATTTGTGGGGACAGATGTTGTGTCAGCATTCGATCAGGCAGCTCAGGAGCTACCACCAAGACCCCTCCACTGTTGGGGGGCTGACAGCAGAGGACATTGAGAAAGCCAGACAGAGCAAGAGGACAGACGCTAAACCACACAAACAAATGGTGATACTTCTTCATTATGATTTTATTGCTTATACTGACAAATAATTACTAAAATAATATTGCGTTTATTTTTTAAGTTGAGTGAGCGAGCCAGAGAGAGGAAAGTGCCTGTGACCCGACTTGGAAGATTGGCCAACTTTGGAGGTACAGTGTTATCATTGTTTATATCGGGGGTGTCCAGACTTTTCTCATCATGGGCTGCTGCATATCTTAACATAGACAAAGCAAGGGCTGACTGAGAGCTATAGACTAGTGGTTAATACATGAAATATTTGATATTGGCTTTATCAAGGTAGATTTTCAAAAACTTGCCATAAAAAGTACTACTTAAGAAAAAAATGGGCCTATTCCCCTAGAAGCTAAAGGGCTACATTTGGCCCCCGAGTCATAGTTTGGACATACCTGGTCTATATATTCAATGCAGATTTCCAGCATTCAAGTGGCTTAATGGCCTCGTGGTTTCATTTTTTTTTTTTCTGTTTTGGTTTTAGTTTGGTTTTATCAAACCGTACCTTTTTTTTTTTTTTTTTTGTATGTATAAACCAGGAAGCTACTGGAAATATATTGTTACAACATTTCTCACTGACAAGAGTTATAACAGTTAATAGTTAATAGTTCACTTGTTTATTGAACAGTGTAATGCACAGTATCAAAAGAAAAAGTGAAGACACACATAGAATGCACAGATGTTTACAATAAAAAAATGTCCTTCCCACCCTTACACCCTTTACAATATAGATCTAGATAATAACTTTATTTTATCTGTATAGGGAAATACAACAAACTATAACCAAGTCTATGGGTAGCGGTTTGTTCCATTCAGTTTGAAATAGAACTGTGATTTCCCTTCATTAGTTTAGATATAATTTGAACTTTTGACTGATACGTACTTACTTTCTAATACTTTCTTCAATAATCACCGAAACCACGAAAGGGACACATGATTTGGTTGTGTAGCAATAACTATTCTTCTCATCTCTCCCAGTCTAATTCTAGTAATTTAGCGGAACGAAAAGCTCATAACTGTTATTACTGTATGTTACTCCTCCAAAGATCCTGAACGTGAGCCTTTGGTGATAGATAAGTTAACAGGTGGAGGGAGTGATTCAGAGTAGCTAAAACACATTGCATGATGGTAACATAAGCTCAGGACAGCATCTTGTATTCAAGGGGCTAAAGTGCTAACTCAGACCTACACAGCAATATTGTGTGGAGGCCTACATTCAACAGATTCTAAGGTGCAATAAATTAACAGTGTTGAAAGGAGTAACATTTAGACAGGTGTTATGGGGAGCAGAGGCCAATGTCAACAAATAGTTTAGACAAGTTCATTAGTTTGTTTAGATATTTAACTCATGAAACATTTTTTATATGTTGTGCTGACACCTTGAGTACAGATAAACAAGATTATTTGGGGAGCTATGTGTTACCGAACAGCCCCTAAAGGCATCACCTGTATATCACACTGTTGTTGTAAACAGAGCTTGTATGGCCAATGATTGACAGACACATGTGCTTTTGCAGTGTAATATTTCTGTCACACATTGAGCCGTACTTTAACAGCACCATTACTTAGAACAACATTGTTCATACCCAAAATCCCCAGTAACCATAGAAAATATAGGGAAAATGTGGTAATAGTGAAAAGAAATTCTTGCCCTCTATTGCCAAATATAGCAGTGCTTAGTATATTAACTTAAAATGCCTCTTCCTATAAAAAAATATAGTTTATATCGAAAATCCTCAGTAGCCGTAGAACATATTGGAAAATGTGCTAATAAGGAAAAGTGCAGTGTTTTCTATAAAAATAATGTTTCCTTTAAAGCACTGTTCTTATTCAAAATCCAAGCTTGCAGCAGGCATATAGAAAGGAACATATTTGCCACATAGGATCAAATGTTTCTGTTGTTTTTGGCTTATAGGGCAGTGTTTAGTACAACCACAAGCTCATGTGAACCTGCTCTTGTTTAACAGCTCTAGCTCTTCTCTGTTGCTTCAGTCTCTGTGTTTGTGTCTGCAAGCGGAGCAGTTATGTAATAAAAGGTTACATAACATATTGGACTTGGAGTAACTCCTCTACAAAACAGCCCCTTCCTCTTTTTTGGTTTCTATAATCAAAATGGATTATATTTTAACTATCTAATAATGATGAGATTATTAGACTTTGATATATGATCCTAGTTAACACCTTTCAATTGTCAGTGTATGTTTATTTTGTCTTATAGTTGAGATTTGGGGGATTTTTTTTTGACAGAGACAGATGGTATTAAAGTCTACAGCATTGTTTTAGTTGCCAGCTGTTAAGTATCTGTCCTTCAGACAAATGAATTTTACGATCTAATAATAGTAGTGCATAACATTTTTATAACACATAAATTTAGTTTACTTTATATTTGATTATTCATCCACTGCACACCTGGAGTAGACTGACAGATGGAAGTCTGCCAATTGTTACGAGCCCCTCCAACTACCACCTATCACTCACACACATATATTGGCTAAGTGGGTTAAGTGTGTTGCCCAAGGGCACAATGACAGTTGGCCAGCTGACCTTTGGGTCAGTGAATGAACTCTCCAGTTAGGTGTTATGTATCATGTTGTACTATGTGGAGATAGTCTGTTACCTAAACTCCAATCTTCCGTTGGTTTGTTATAGGGCTAGCTGTTGGTTTGGGTTTTGGAGCTTTGGCAGAAGTGGCTAAGAAAACCATTCGACAAAATGGTAGGTAACCCATGTAAATGTTTTAAACCTGATTTTCTTTTTACAAACCTTTCCCTCACACCAGTCACTGATGACAGTTAATCCACAAACTAATGTTAGAGGCAGAGAACTGTGTTGTTTGTGTTTGTCGGTGTTGATTCTCTATAATCCCAGTAAAGACGCAGGGCTAAGGGTGCACACCTGCCACTGGTTTAAATCTGTAGTAATGCGACTGAAGGAGACCCAAGTCTGGGCCACAGCGCCTGCCAACACCTCGACCTACTGACACACATACTCTATGAAATATGTGTGCATGCATGATAACTGATCTTCTGGGGATCATGGTGTTGACAGAGTACACACCTTTGCCAAAGTATTATAAACTATATTGTGCACAGGTGCTGAAGGTGAACAAAAGAAAGCAGTTTTGGATTCAAGTCCCTTCCTGTCTGAGGCCAACGCTGAACGCATCGTTCGGACTCTGTGTAAAGTCAGAGGAGCTGCATTAAAGCTTGGACAAATGCTTAGCATTCAAGGTGAGCTGAAACAAGCCATTTAAAATAATTTAAAATAAAACAGTTTAAAGGGCTCATATTATACTATTGTCTGATCTATGTTATAATTTTGTTTCTTCATCAGAAACATACCTGGAGTGTTGTTTTGTTTCATTTTCATATGTTAAACACACAAACCCTGCATATTTCGCATGTGTTCTTCTCTCATACAGAAAACACTCTGGTCCACCTTGTGATGTCAAGTGGTAATACAGGATGTGCTCTACTGTGTTTTTAAACTCCATACACTTTTACTAGACTCATTTGGATAATTTCATCTCTGGAAATGCCAATCTCAAATGAACAAAAGGCAAAAGGTAGATGCTAATTTGAAAACTGCAGCTCATGACATCACAAGGTGGAAAAGAGTATTTTGAGCTTTGGAGACATAATCAGACTAATAATAAATAATTACTGAAACACATGTGAATGAAACAAAACATAATTCCAGGTATGTTTTTGAGGAGGTAACCCTATAATATGTCTAAAAGCTCACAAGAGTTTTGCATAATATAGGACCTTTTAACAGGCATCTAGTGTAAGCATTTCCTTCTAAGCAAGTTGTATACACGGGGTGCTGATTAGCAGAGGACAAAGTGAAAGAGTGTCTAGTGGCTATGGTAGTAAACATCTTGGTTCATAGTGGGCTCGGATAACACCATAAACAAACCACTGTGTTTGTTGACTCCTTGCTCCTTGTCTCACCTTGAGCAGTGACCTTTGGTTCTTTGGCATTTATGGCCTGAGTTCACAGCCAAGTTTGCGCGCTGCACATTTTAACCACTCTTAAGATTCAGACCTATTGTACCTCATTGTGGTTATTTGTAGATCTGCCACATATTTACTCTGAACAAGTTACAAGCCACTTCTTAAATCATAAACGTGACTGCACAGGTATTCTCTGTAGACAAAGCACATACTCTGCTCACTGGTCCTGGAGAATATAAATCACTGTACTGTATAAATAACCTCAAATACAGCTCAGAACAATAGAAAACCCACAAACCATAATATTCCACTGTCCTGATGTTGACAGTTTTACAATGGTAGTTTAAGAGTTATGGCATTATATTTTAAACCATTGTAGCACCTGAATGAAATAATGACAACTTTGAGATCCCTTCTCATAAAAATATACATGACAGTAGTTTGGTTATGTATTTTTAGATACATCATTTTGAATTTGCACAAATGTAAACCTTTCATTGTATCGTCACTGCTTCATGAGTAAATATCTTTTTCAGATGATGCTTTTATCAACCCACAACTCGCCAAGATTTTTGAGCGTGTGAGACAGAGCGCTGACTTTATGCCAATCAAACAAATGACGGTAAAGTCCTTTTTTTGTTTTCTAATAGTTTTGGGATTACATAATACAAGCAATTTAGGGTGGCAGTTTAAGGGTGCACTGCATAACATTTCTAGTGGAGGGTCCGCTGCCTGATGTCTCCATGGAGATGTTATTGCTCTGCCTGGAATGTTTCATGATATGACTTTAAACGTTTCCATCTGAATTTATTCTTTACAGGTGTTTCTGTTGTTCAAAAATGAAATGTTACACAGTGCACCTTTTAATTTCTGATTTGACCACAGCAATTGTAGCATTTGTTGTTGTCTTTCATAATAAATACTGTACAAATGTGTCGTATCTTAGTAGTAATGTTTTTTGTTGATTTACAGAAAGCTTTAAACAATGACTTGGGTCCAAATTGGAGAGACAAGCTCGAGGCTTTCGAGGAGCGTCCCTTTGCAGCAGCCTCCATTGGGCAAGTGCATTTGGCCCGGATGAAAGATGGAAGAGAGGTGGCCATGAAAATACAGGTACACCAGCCACATATATGTGTGTGTGTACACTACAAACACTGGAAAATATAAGTGTTGCTAATGTAAATATCTAGTTATGCATCATTAAGACCCTTTTGCCCTGTCTTTTTCTTTTTTGTAAACGTAAATACAAAATGTGTGTATTTATATGGGCTTTAATGGTAATTGTTGGTACTTTTGAAACAAATCACAAACTTTTCAGCTTCATTATTCATCTATTTCTAATAAAATGAATACATTTGGCACATTAACTGCATAATAAATAGACGTAGCTAACCCGCTAATAGACACAGCTAAACTTCTTGCTCCATCGACTCATAGTGAAATATTTCTATTAACCTGCTGTATATTATCCTGGTGCTTTTATTTTGCTGTCTTGTCCAAAAAATCACACTCCCTTGGTGCCAAATCATAGACTGTATTAAGAAATGGACTAATATATTGTCCATGCATAACTAAATATGCAAAATTGTGTGCTTGTTTTCAGTATCCCGGTGTAGCTCAAAGTATCAACAGTGACGTCAACAACCTGATGACTGTGCTGCACATGAGCAACGCTTTGCCTGAAGGTACAGACAAAACTCACACTGTCTGTCACACATCACCCTGATATTAAAAGTAATAGCAAGAGCTGATCTTGCCAACCTGCTTTTACACCACCTCTCCTTTTTGTTTTGGTCATAGGCTTGTTTCCAGATCACCTCATTGATGTGATGAGAAAAGAGCTTGCACTGGAGTGTGATTACATCAGAGAAGCTCAGTGTGCAAAGAAGTTTAAGTGAGTAGGCTGCCAGTCATCACATTAAATTACTAATTACTATTAATATATGAGTGAGTTGACCACTGGCACAAACTGACAGCTAAGTCCCTGTCAGCCTCAGGGTGACTGTAGTAGCTTATCCCACCAAGCAAAAGACTGAATAATTCAATTTAATGCATATTTTTTGTGAACAAATAGTGCTACATAAATCAAGTACAAAGTTATTTTTAATAACAACATAGACTACCAATATACCTAATTTTATCATGTATTTTTGCCATAGGGAGCTGCTTAAGGATCATCCATTCTTCTATGTGCCTAATGTAGTTGATGAGTTATGCAGCACTCATGTCCTCACCACTGAACTTGTCCCTGGTTTTCCCCTGGACAAAGCCGAGACTCTCTCCCAGGATCTGAAGAATGAGGTACACACAGAATAGGAAGTGAGGATGTAAATGAAATCCACTTACAAATAGTTTTAACACACTGACAGGCTAGTACACATGAATATACACAGTCTCCTGTTGTCTCCTGTTTTCTCCTGAGAAAACGCCATCTAGTGGCATATTTCCCATGTACTTAGGAAATGCAAAAATAGACTGTCAATCATTTGTTGTTTATGTTCAGATATTACATGCATTCATGCATAATGCATGACTGGATTATGCACTATAAGTTAAAAGATATGGGAACTATAATTTTTGTTAAAAAGTATTTTTGGTATTTTTTAATACTAAAATATTATGACCAATAGTTTTATCAGTTGGATTTTAAGTGTTTTTGTTTTGCAGAATGCTACTTTAATTGTCTCTCTTAAAGTAATGTAATTTATTTATATTTTAGATCTGTCACAATATCTTGATGTTGTGTCTAAGAGAACTGCTTGAGTTCCGCTACATGCAAACCGACCCAAACTGGTCCAACTTCTTTTACGATCCTCAAACACACAGGGTAAGATGCACTACAGTTTAGATATATTTAGAAATATTCTATAACTATAATATTATGTTTGTTTGTTTTTTTGTTTTTTTTACTGTGATCCTCTAGGTGGCACTGTTGGACTTTGGAGCTACAAGAGGATTTGACCAGAGCTTCACTGACCTCTATATAGAGGTAAGATGTCAAAACCTTTCCACACTTTGGTCTTTTGGTCAATCTACTCAGATAACTTAATTTTAAAGTAGGTAAACAGTGTATTAATAATAATAATAACACAATTGTGTTTTTCTGGTTGTAGGTGATCCATGCAGCGGCTGAAGGCAACAGAGAGGGGGTTTTACAGAAATCTATTGACATGAAGTTTTTGACTGGATACGAGTCTAAGGTACGTACAGCTCAACTCACACTGCCGACCGTCTCTGCCCAGGGCCAGTTTGGATAGATAAAATTGTACCCAATTAATATCATTTAAAAACTTTGATTCTCTCATTTAAGTAATTAAAAACAGAAGTGTGATCAATTTTGGAAGAGGTGTGGCATTATTACTTGAAACTTGCCTTGATAATATGGGTTAAGGACTTGACTTGGAGCCCCGTGACTTGAGATGACTTGATGGTTCCACTCAAAAAATACATGTGTTTAGTTCAGTACACCCTGATCTCTGTTTGGGCGATTCTTAGAAGTACTTTCAGTGCTTCATTTTACAGAAACAAACTGGAACATTTTCCTAACTCTTTATTATTAGTCTGTCTGCATTTCCAAAGCTCAAAATGCTCTGTTCCACCTTGTGAGGTCATGTAGTGGTAGTTTTCAAGTTAGCAGCTACCTTTTATCTTTAATTCAATAGAGCATGGCAGTCCCATGTATGAAATTATGATTCTAATGCAGGTGTATGTAAAAACACAGTGGAACACTTGATGTATTACCACTTGACCTGTATTACTACTTGATATCACATGGTGGACCAGTGTTTTTAGTTAAATAGAAGAAGCAGGGTTTGTGTGAATGAAACAAAACACAACTCTGGGTCTGTTTGTAATGCAGAAACAACACTAAAACATGGATCAGAAAATAGAGTAATACGGGCCCTTTAAAGGTACCCATATGATAAAATGCTTCAAGTTTGCCTCCTCACTCCTCACTGTGTGTCTGTGTTTTCTCCAGCCGATGATAAACGCTCACGTGGATGCTGTGATGATCCTGGGGGAGGCTTTTAACTCGAGCGAGACCTTTGATTTTGGCTCTCAGTCGACCACGGAGCGCATCCACAACCTGATCCCCGTCATGCTCAAACACAGGCTCACCCCGCCCCCCGAAGAGACCTATTCCCTGCACAGGAAGATGGGTGGCTCCTTTCTCATCTGCTCCAAGCTAAACGCCAAGCTCAGATGCAAGGATATGTTTCAGAACGCCTACAGCAAGTACTGGGAGGGGAGGACCAAACCCTCTAATTAAGAAGATGAAATGAAATTGCATAAATGCACAAACTGGGGCCAAAAGTAAAGCCACTGAAAGAATATCAACAGGGACAGTAGATACGATTCCTGCCTGCGACTGTTTTCCCCATTTTGGGCATCTCACTACCGAAAGACAATGTAGCACAATTTCCAGTTTTAGATTTTAAACAAGGGAGCATCCAGCAATATTGGAATTGATTTTTGTTTGAGAATTTATTGTAGAATATATTTGATTTGAATGTATTTTTCTTGAAGGTACAATTGCTTTTTGTTGCATTTGCGTTGCTGTGTTAAGTAATTATGAAATGTTTTGCTTTAAGCATGCAAAATGTATTGTTTCCAAAAATGTCTGGGAAACTAGGAAATTGACAAAAAAGATAAAAAAGGATGATTGTCAGTTGTTGAAGTATAATGTGATTTTCACAATATTCTGTTTGTTTTTATGGCAAACTGTTATATTTGAGATAAGCAGGGTTTAAGGTAAAGATGCTGCCTAGAGAGCTTCTTATGAGGGCTTCTTCATTGTTTTTTGTTTCACTGTCCAGAATGGTCACCATCACAAATGCAAATCATTGTATATTTCAACTAACCTGTTAAAACTAATGCCTCAGTTTTAAAACCAAAGTAATATTTTCCTACCTTGTGAATACTGTAAAATGCTAAATGAATACAGTCTGGTTGGAATCATGCTCACTAATGTATATGAATGAACTGTCCTTAAATATCATCTGAGAGTGTGCAGTCCTCCATAACCTGCAAAATGTGTCTGTAGTCTTCTACTCCACAGATCCAAAATGGTGTGGTTCAAGTAGTTTTCAGTGGCAGAATTTTAGGCGTAATTCTTAACAGTGCCTGTGCTTTATTGATTTAGCAAGATATACCTATATTTTTGTTAATAAAATATAATGATTTTTGTTAATCTAATGCATTTGCCTGAAGTTTATCAATTAATTTTGATGCATTTCTTGTGTGTATGATGATGAAATAATTAAAGAAGGCCTATGCAGTATTTTCTGAACCGAATAATAAACACGTATTTTTAACAACCCCAACTTAAATAGTTCAGACTGTAAAACGTATATGGACAATAGACTTACATGGCACGTAGTAGGCGTTTTGGCCTTTGTTATTTTTGTAATTCAACTCTGTGGCCGACAGGTGGCACTGTATTCAACTTCAGCTGGCACAGCCTTTAATGGTACGGTTCACATAAGATTGTTCAGACAGTAAGGCTCTTTAAGTGCTGCTAATCGAGTCTAATTAGAAGCAGACAGTCGCTGCTTTTATGCTACATGATACATGTGGATGTGGACAGGTGGGTTAAGCAAAACAGCATTTAAGGTATTTTTTTATGGTCACAGCAATAATGAAATTTTTAGTTTAGGTTAGCACGTGATCACCAAGCAGCACCGTGCATGATTTAATGCCAGTGTCTGTGTGCCTATATTGTCCTCTTTTTAAAGTTTCATAGGTTTCATTTAGTCTTTCGTGCACATCGCTGTTTAGTATGGTAATTCTAAAGTAGTTTACTAAATCCATTGTTCACTAGGCTCTAATCTAATCGGATAGCTAATCCTTGTAACCATGATCTAATGAGACTCTTTATAGGCCTACTTACCACAACTTATCACACCGCTGTAAATACTATTATGTCTTTAAGTAAATGTACTTTAAAGGTGAACTGTGTAACTTCAGGTGAAGGATTTGCCTGCCACTTGCTTGTCTCCATTGAAAGGTTATTGTTTTGTTCACCTGTCTGGCATTAAACGTCCATCCATTTTGCATTTACTCAAAAACATGAGTTATTGAACTTAAAAACTTGCATTTTTACTATGAGTGAGCTCGCCTCTCCACAGATCTGACATGTAACTTGGCCCTGTGGTGTCTTCCTAGAGATAACTAAGGGTAATGCCATTCTGTGGAACATTTCAGACAATATCTCCATGGAGAAAATCAGAAAAGTCACACAGTGCACCTCTAATATAGCTTACAATGTCAATGTTTTCAGTTAAGTCATTTTTAAAGGTGCACTGTGCAACTTAACTGAAAACATTGACATTGTAAGATATATTAGGCTACATGTACAATTGAACTCCACCTCTGTAGATTTTTACTATAATTGCAAAAAGAAAAAAAAAAAAGCATAAAAGAGCCTTATTCAAGATGGAATGGTGTTTTTGCCATTTATTTAGCCATACTGTTACAGAGCTTGTACTCTTACAGCCTTGTAGACTCCAGGTGCCAGATAAGTTTAAGTTCACTTCAGATACATGAATAGAATCTCTGTAAACTCTGGGAATGATATGGGACCTACCTTGAGCTGCCACTGCCTTCTATCAGGAGCCTATGTGTTTAGACAGAGGATGGAAACCACAGCTTTTGTTTACAAGAGCCACAGCCACAGTGCAGCTGAAGATAGTGAGGACTGAGCACACCTTATTTGGTGAGTTTTGAGCAGTTCACCCAGTTCAACAATAACAGCCATAGTTAGTTTTCTTTTCTATTGCCAGTGCAGTGAAAAAACAACAAAGTTAATGAGACTATTTCTATCATTACCATGGAGACACATTCACACACTCTAAATTTGCAAATCTTCAGACAGTGGGTGGCTGCATTTCAGCAAACTGTTTTTAGTTATTTTTCTGGCTCGATTTTCCATACAATTGTTGGCTTTATAGTTTTAACATAGAATTGTTCACCTCCATAAGAATGCATTGAGACTTATTATTTTATTGCCAATGTTGAAATACACAGTCATTGTGTGTAAGTAACAGATGGACAAAAATAGTTAACTGAAGTTTTTAATCTCACTTTTTCTTCCCACTAGTTCCCCATGTGTGTTGCTTACAGCCAATATACACAAAAATGAGCATGCAAATTACTGCACACGGCAGTTTCTCCAGGAATGAAAACTAAAATCACTTACAAGTGAAAAAAAAAAGTAATAGTTTAATTTGTGTAATTTGTGTAATACAGACCAAAAAGGCATGACATAGTACCATTACACAAATCATAAGCTTATAACACAAACACTGTACAACATATACAAAGGCAAATGCTGAACAGAAATTTTACTTTTACAGTACAATAATCTTAAAAAGGCTTCAGGTTAAGGGGGCTCAGATTAATGTACAAGAATAAAAAAGTGAATAAAGAAGCTGTATCAGTGTTTCCCATGAATCATGGAGACTGTGGTGGCCCCGTATAGACACATTTTTGCCACAATAGTCTAAAAACAAGACAAAAGGTGGTTGTACAAATTATACTTTGGTGTAGTTTATCATAAGGAAAAGTAACTGTATTTAATTGGTCAGTTTTTTGGTCACTTGATGCAGTTGGTGACATTTTAAGGGACTTTGTGTAACATTTCTAGTTAAGGGGCCACCACCTGCTTGTGTTCATTGAAATGTTATTGCTTGCTATTGTCTGGTATATTCCACGGTACAGATTAAACAGATTATGTAAGAAAGTTACAGCACTACGCTACATTACAATTCAGATTGGTGGAGAGTCACCCCTATTCACAGAAGGAATTGTTATATTTTTGAGCAATAAAAACACATCTAATGAATAAATGCTAGATGGAAATGTTTAATGTCATACCATGGAACATTCCTGCAATAATAATATCCCATGGAGACAAGTAAGTATCCTTCACCAGAAAAGTTACACAGTGCACCTTTTAACACACCCAAAATTGTATTAAAAAAATATGATTCAGATATGGATAACTTGTGCCACCATAGTCTCTGTGGGAAACACTGTGTAAAGAGGCACAACAATGTAAGAATACTACACGGATGGCAGTCCAAAAATGACAGAATCGTTACAGTCTCATCTGATTCCCATTCTTTGACTTTCGAGTTTTCAGGTTTGTTTAATAAAAGGATGAAGACATGTTTGCGCACTCACAGATGCGGATTTACACTTTAATGAGTCCTTCTGCTTTTTGGTCCTTGGATCTGCTTTTTATGCTAATGTGGTTTTGGATAAATAATCCTGGTATTCACACACATACAGTTATACCTTTACAACACGCACATACTGTTACTAGATCCTACTCCATATCGCTCACTGTCAAACACCCACGCATATTTATATATACACTTAATATACAGCTGGTTTTGAACTAAGAATTTACAAATACTAGTCCTTTCAAATGCACTCACCAAACTGCAAATACAAAACATTTGGCATCATCACATTTAAAAGTCCCAATACTTTGAGAGCTGCTAATTAGATCTCAAACTTAAAATATATTTGAAGTTAAAAGGTATGACAAGCGCTAATTATCAAGAGGGTGAATCATTTTTGTCAAGTCTGTATCACATAGTTTGACTGGTTTAAAGTGGCATTAATTAAAACTGAGTCACAAGTGTTAGAGATCACAACATGATTCAAAGGAAGACATGTTGGATATTCTGCTAATCTATTGCCAGGCTTTTTATTCTTATCTAACACTAAATGGGAAACAGTATTGAATAGGTCACACGAACTGGTAAGTAACTCCACTGAATTTACTTATAGCTGTTAAACAAATCTGGCAACACAATTAAGAAAGCTATAGCTGAAGATATAACTGAAGCACCCCTTATTCACGTTTATTACATATTGCTGCCAAAAGGGGGTGACAAAATGTATCTGTTGTGCCAGTCCCAAGCACAAATAAAGAATTATCTGGCCTAAATAATAATGGCTATAGTTGGCATTTTACTAGCTGCTTCAGAGTTGGCAGTGGTAACACATCTTCCCACAATATCTGATATACATATTGTTAAGTCAAAAATGTTAAATTGGCTCTTGAGAGCTTTAAGACATGTTATAATGCTGTTACCTCATGAAAAACATACCTGGATTTGTGTTTTGTTTCATTCACATGTGTTTGAGTAATCCATTATTATTATTAGTCTGTCTTCTCCAAAGCTCAAAATGTTCCACCAGTGATGTCATGAAGCAGTAGTTTTGAAGTTAACAGCTCCTTTTACCTTTAAATTTTCCATCTGAGTGAAGAACTTAACCTAAATATGCAGAATTTGTGTGTTAAATATGTGTAAATGAAACAAAACAACTCTAGGTATGTTTTTGATGAGGAAACAACATTATAAAATAGCGCAATATGGGACTTTAAATTGTCATCCTTAATCCATACAAAATAACAATAAAATATTTAAGACGCAAACATTACAATTACGTGACAAAGTAAGACAGATGTGGTAGACATGGCCACGTAGGTGTACATTTGACCATTGTAATGCATATCTTACAACACTGTCCTCTTTCTTTCTTCTTTGTACAGCACTATGCTCGCCATCTTCTGTGATGTGGTCGAAGCCCAGACAGCCCCGAGTCACCACATATCTAAAGAGGCCAAAGTGTCCCCATTTCCTCTCAGACATCTTGAGGAACGCCTTGGTCCCTGCAACCTGGGAGAATGAAAAAAAAATAATAATAATACGTAAGATCCTACTGTTTTGACGGCTACTCAAATACTCACAGTAAATTAAATTAGCTTGCTTTTACAGCCGCTGTTACAAGGTTTTCAAAAATGTGACAAGCAATTACCATTTAACATTTAGTTGGAGCAATTGACAATAATTGCTTTTTGCTTTTTCATGTAACGGCTGACGGGGAAAGCAGAACATGACAGGTGTTGTAATTAAAGCTTGGGTAATAACTTCAAAACAAAAGCAGACATGAGCGGTCAACCTTTTTATTTGGCTTAAGATGAATAATTATATTTATCATTTACTTTACACTACAAATAAATCCTTTTAGCAGGACAAACATTTTGGGTTATCATTTTAAAGGGGTTGCTTTGGCTTTCATTATTTGCTGTTGCAATAGTTTGATGTTGATAGGTATACCTTAAACATTCCTATTCAGGATGGTTAAATCAGTTTAAGGTCCAAGGTCCCTTTTCTATTGATGTCCGCCATGGGCTTGTTTCCAAGAAGATTTAATGGCTTTGTCTGAAACTTTAAACTTGTCTAACTTGTATTCATTCAATTA